ATTTTAAATTCAATTATATAATTTTTTCCACCATCTGATTCGTCTCTTGAAACCATTTAAATTACGTAAAAAATATTTCTCATATGATCGCAGATAGAAAAGATATTTAGGTGGCCTGTTTTAAGCGGAACACCCTGTATAGGATGTATAAAAATTATATGTCACGATCGGTGGAGATCTGTTAAAAAAAATGGACTGCAGAATTGACATTGACCTTGAAAATCAAGGTCAAAGGGTCAAAACATTTTGTTCTATTGCATGGTATAGTACTCATCGCAAAGAACAAAAGTCTCAAAGAAACCATGGGTCTCGAGTCAACCATTCACGTAAAAAACAATGCTAAAGTTTCAATGATTTTTACACACACTTTATTTATAATTTTTGTTATACTTTACAATGAAATATAGAATAAACAACGTGCTTATTATCGAAGAAAAAGAACATTAAAGTTTACCTGGGGAAATATATTATTATTCAGTGAGGAATAATCGGAAAACAGTGCAACAGACGTTCCATATCGTTGTGATTTTCAGCGGTAAGATCATTCAGCCAAGCAAGAATTAATATTACATCATCTTATTAAACATCGAGAAGCGGAGCGATTGTGCATCTATTATCTATTCGCGTAAAAAGAATAGTTTATCGTTTTTGTTAATCATTAATCATTATCCACTAATGAACTTAGATGCAATAATTCATCGAGTAAGAATCAGTTGTATGACTCCGATCGAATGACCACGTCGCTCGATAAAGTTTTTCCTGTTGGATACATCAAAATGTTACCACGTTTTTTGAGTCCGAGTTTAATCATTCACAATACAATCAAATTAAACAAATTTATCAATAATATTTTTCTACAAAAATAATTAAAATTTTTTAATTTAATAATTTTTAATTTATCGATTTAGTTAAATTATCCCTACTAATTTAAATTGTGATCAAATGCTTTCTACCTAAGTTTGTTTTAATTTATATCATTAACAAATGCAACATACCTGCAATTTCTACGGACTTGTTTCTTGAGTGAATTACGTTAAGTTATATCGCGCCACAGACGTCACTCCATTTACTTCATACATGATAGTGCTTCTCATCATGAAATGTTTAGAACGCGATGAATGGGATGCAGACCTGATTGAAAAATTTTTTTAAAAATTAGAAGGATTCGCTTATCGTCGACGTGCGTTCGATTGGCGGTCACTTTCGATTACGCACAACAAAGTGATGCTCATGGCCAGAAGTTCACCGCCATAGGGAGGTTAAAGTATCGAGCGTGACTTCGCCGGTGAACGCACAAAGGACGGCTATTGTATTCGATCGAATCGCGACAAGGACGCGGCGATCACTGAAAAACTGTGTTTTATACTGTAATGTTTAATTTCATTTATATCTACCGTCACGATGAGCAATCATTTATGATTCTCGTTGAAATGGGTTTTGTAATCTCTTCAAATGACCACTTGTTTAGTTTCTTCTGTTTAATGTACAGTGACTCACGCGTGTTCATTTATACTTAAAAAACTTTATAAAATGAGGGTTCTAATAAAGTTTAATACTATTTGTGTTATTATTAATGCAGTAAAACTTATAATGCAATAATTAAAAATTAAATAAATGAAAAATTATATTTCAATTGCTGATCAGTTTAGTATATATATATATATATATATATACAGGGTGTAACAAAAATGTTGGAGGACCCTAAAATGGGAGAATCGTGAGATGATTTGAAACAAGTTTTTCCTTAGCAAAAATGTTATCCGAGGCTTTGTTAACGAGATATTAACGAAAAACCCCGACCAATTCAAATCTATATCGTTATAAAAAGGTACATACAGATATTACAAAATTTAATTTTCTATGTGTCAAGTATTTATTAATATTATTATAATTTAAAATTCGATTGTTTAAAAAAAAAAGTGCACTCCAAAATTTCACTATAATTGTGATTTTGAATGTGATAGGGAAGAAGAGAAGATAGGATTCTATTGAACCGCGTCAGAATCGCCTCGAGTATTCGATCAAACAGCGAAAGCTATCAGGAAATGTGAAAAAAATTGGAGACCTCTGGAAATAGAGATATCGCTTAATGATCTTGAACTGGGAGTAATTGGATACACTCGGACGCGTGTACTCTGACCCAATATCATCTGGCCGTGATTTTTAATTCCTCGGTTATCTCGTATGTTCCCCGATTGACTTTCCTTAAACGATCGTAAGAGCGTGTCGATCAGTAAACAATCGTTAACAATTGTAATCGATGACGTACAGTGCTTGATCATTTTTACACGATTGTCTGTCTCCCTCCGTTACAACGATTGGAATTTCGCTGTCGAGGAAACCGAGTCTTAACCCTGTTATTTCCAAATTATTCAAAAATTTCCAACGAAATATTTTGTTGTATGTTTCTGTATATTACCGTGACATGTAGATGATTCGTATGAACATTTTAACATTTTCAAACCGTTTGATTTCGTTTTTTCATTTATTGTCATTTGGATAATTCTTTCAAAAGTGTGTTGTAGATCCATATTTCTCTTATAAATTTGAATTTTTTCATATTTTGAATGTTATTATTAAATCTAGTGAATTCAGAATTGAATGACAAACCCTTTTTTTTTTTTAATTTGAAAAAAATTTGTTTAACAAAATATTTAAACAGTCTACTTAGTTAAAATGTGTAAGCAAATGTTTTTTCTTTTTTATTCCTAAAAGAAAATTCATGTCTGAAAGAATTAAAGTACTTAACAATACAGCACTAGTGGGGCCGAAAATGTTAACTTGGGATTGATTTGTCGGGGATCAAAAGACGATGAAGAGAACCGATCGTGTTCGGTAATTAGTTGAGATTTTTTTCCTGTTCGATTGTTTATTCGCAACCTCGATAACGAGCCGTGTCAGACGTAAAAACTGTACATCATTTATTAGAATAAATCGTTTCTGCAACGAACATGGACCCCAGTCTGCGTCGAACTTCCGGATACAAGCCAGAGATGATTAATGTCACCGGTTGACGTGTGTAAAGGCGAAAATTAATCGATGAATTATTAACGAGGCGCCGCCAACGGTTCTTGAATAGAAATCAGGTTCCACGGACTGGGTGAAGATAACATCAGACTATACGTTCCGACGAAAGAAAAAAAAACGAAGAAAAAAAAAAGAAAAGAACTTCGGGCGAAAGTCTTCTTGGTGCATTAAATCGGCGAATCATCCCGCGAGAACTCGCGCTTTTCCCACATTATTTTCGCAACATTGCCTCGATTAGGATGTACTGTGGGATTACTTCTGCGACAGAGAAGTCTGAAATTTTGAGATTTTGAGCCTTCGAGATTACGAGGCTTTGAGATACTAAGTCTTCGAGATTCTGAAGTTCTGAGATTTTGACTTCTCGAGATTCTGAGGTTTTGAGATATTCAGTTTTCGAGAATCTGTGGTTTTAAGATTCTGAGACTGTAAAAATCGCGAGGTTTAAACATTCGAAACAAATGCCTGTACAATCAATTTTGTTTGCCACTACAATCATGTATATTACAGTACATTGTATGCGGTGTATAAAAAACGACAATATTACGTGCCGCATGAAATGTTCTTGCGGCGATTATTATGTGTATGTACTTAAAGATCCTCGGCTGTCATTAACCTCGACAGTAATTTACATTACAGCTACCACGCATGTCAGAGATAATTTGTTGGGAGCGTATAAATCACTCATGCTATATATTTGTTTTGTCAGTTTTTGAATGCATAATAAGTAATTCGCTAATTTAGCTTCGTACAAAGAGTGTCTTTGTTCTGTCTCTTGATTCTGTGATTCCGGTTTCTCCTACTATTCCCCGATCTTCTTTACCTTTCCCCTTCCCCTTGATTTATGCAACTCGACATATGCCGTTTGACTTAATTATATCTATTGGTACGATCACACTTCTGCGTTGACGCATGTGGCATTTCCATCATATTGCACGTTATTCTGCATCGATTATACGATGAAAATGTCATCAGGTATTCAAATTAATGATCGGCGATAAACGACGTTTATCGCGATCTCGTGTTACACTGTTAATGAGACGTTTATTGCTTGTCACGAAAACTATATAGAGATGTATTTACGACTGCTACTGGCGTTATGGCTGCATTTGTTACCGATATTATTACTACTAATTTCATCGGTATTGCTTTCATTACTGGTGCCATTTATACACCCTTTAATACCGAAGTGTTATTTTTAGTTTCATCGTTAATGCTTCATTATTCCTATTTTCCAACCACTAGTGCACTTCTATTAATTTCACTAATAACATCCTTCATGTTACTTTCATTACTAGTAGCAGTGCTGTTGTTTCTGCTAAAGACAGAGTGTGTTTCTGTCAACGACATTGTTCAGTAAATTTCTAACATTAATAACTCGTTTTTAACTCGAAATTTCCATTTAACTGCTCCGATTTAATTTCACGAGCGAAACTGTCGAAGGATTCTATCATTCGAGACACAGAGAAAACAGTTAAATTGACAGTTCTTTAAGTTACAAGTTTATCCGTTCCAGTGAATGGGGGAATAATTACCAGTCAGCTGTGATTACAGTTATGGGCAGCTTTTCCCCACCCCCTATAAATCACTTGGACAACCCACGGTTCAGGGACAAGCGGTGCACCTTGCACGTTATTTCCCAACCTTCGCTGGAAGTTCAAGCCGGGTTTGCTTACTATTACGACACGAAATACCGGCTTTATAGTACACAACAGACTTTCCTTGCCACGTGAGAAACTAGGGTCCGAAAAAAAAAACATCAAATTTCATCTTTCCTTAATTTTAATGAAAACGTTCGAATCATTAAATCATTTTAAATTTGAATCAGTACAGACACGTCTACAACGTCTACAAAACCAGAATTCCAAAATCAAGTTTCTGGTGGTTGAATTTTTTTTCAGGATTTCCTTTAAGGTTTTTTTCACCACTGTTGCGACGGCTTGTTTGACCTGTTCGTCTTTGTTTTCTCGTTTCAGAACGTATCGTCAATTATGCGTAAACAGTGACCGACCCAAGAAGGAAAACAGCCCCGAGGAACCACGTGGGCTCCTTAGAGGAGGAAAGTGAACCAGCAGTCGGGACTCGGACGCTAGACATGCGTCTTCGGACGTGAATTCCCGGTTCGAACGAATACCACCGCCGTTATCCCCTCCCCCTTTGTGAACGGAGAATCCCTAGTGGAGAGAAAACCGTAGTCGCGCGTGTGATTCCCGATAAAACGAAGATGACCACGTCGCCGCACTGTTCCCCGTCCCGGTCGTCGCTCAGCTGCTGTCAGATCGATCACAGCAGCCACGATGACGTCCACGGTGTCGCGATCGCCGGTAATCAGAAATACTTCTTCCAAGAGAAACACTCGTTCCCGAAACGACCGGAGGTGGACCTTGCTTTCTCCGACGTACGGTACACGGTCTCCGAATGGAACATCCGGAACATCAGACCGAGTGAGTTCAACCTTGAATAATTTTTATACCGATTTTACTTTCACGCTTTTAGGAATAATAATTATGAAGAATCACGAGGAGCAACGAGGTTGATATGTTATATGCGGTTCTCAATGTGTTTGATTCTTGTGCATTGTGGTGTTAGATTTTTGTTGTTCCCATAGTGCTAGATTCTTGGGGTTTCTATAGTGTTATACAGTTAATCATCAATGAGTGTTCGAAGGCTGTGAGGCATTGAGGGGGCTTGACTGGTTCCACGTGACCTCCCCCCAGTGGTGGGGATGATGTCTGAACATCCAGTACTGAGGAGCTTTGGAACACTCATCGATGATTTACTGTATTCTCGGTGTTCCCATAGTGCTCAATTTTTGTTGTTCCCATAGTGCTAGATTCTTGGGGTTTCTATAGTGTTATACAGTTAATCATCAATGAGTGTTCGAAGGCTGTGAGGCATTGAGGGGGCTTGACTGGTTCCACGTGACCTCCCCCCAGTGGTGGGGATGATGTCTGAACATCCAGTACTGAGGAGCTTTCGAACATTCATCGATGATTCACTGTATTCTCAATGTTCCCATGGTGCTCAATTCTTGTGATACCCATAGTGCTCGGGGGGAGTCTTACAATCCTCATAGTGCTCGAACTCCACATAGTGTTTCCAATAGTGTTAGATTTTTATTGTTCCCATAGTACTCGAGTGGTCTAATGCATCCCTACATAGTGTTTAATAATTCCAATAGTGCTTGGGGGGTTTCATAGTTGACATAGTGTTCGGGGAAGGGGGTTCACAGTACCACTTGGTGGATTTCATAATCCCCATAATACTCAAGGAGTTCCGTTGTTCTCATAGTGTTCGAAGTAGCTACATTTGACTTTAAATAGCAAATGCAATTTTTTTTTGTTTGAGGCAAAAAACGTGCCATGTTTTCATGACGAGTGTCCTCGACATAAACATCGAAAGGGTTAATGGGTAGTCATTAGCTTACGATCTCTCTCGATTAATTTCATTCCCGTATAATTTACGACTGTCGGGGCGAACAGGAAACGTTTTTTCCCCTGCAGAATGTGAATTATTCTCGAATGGTTACCACCGTTTTTGGTCATAGGTCAGTGCCACCGTTTTCGCGCGGATTACCTGGTCGGGACCAGCGGGAACATTTCAGTGTGTATATTATAAATGTCACTCTTGACGTCGTCGGGTGAAAGCGGATGGAGCGGTTCTGCGAGCTCCGGCGAAGAAAGTTTTAAACGGGAGAAAGCGGTCGAGAGCGTTTTAAGAGGACGTCTCTCTGCCGTTCGAGAAGCTGACCGAAAAAAACAAAGAGAGGGTCAGACGCACGCGCCTGACCTCGAGCGGAATGTTATTGGCATCGAAATACAGGATGTCCTATTTAACGTGAACGCTAATCTCACTTGTGTTTGAAGGTACAAAAAAAAATATGATTGGAAAGTATTATTTAAATTAAAAGAGCAAATACTATGACAAGACAAAATTTTTCACAAGGTCGTATTTTTCGAAATTTCAAGGTCATTGATGTTTTTTTTTTAATGGGATTACATACTTTTAACAGCGTGGCGTAATAGTCGAAAACAAGACCAATTCAATGACCTATAATAGTGTGACCTTCACGTAACCTTGAGTATGAAAAATCCAGGAATGTATGAGAGTAAATTTAAATAATAAAATAACTACGATAGAGGGATAAGTGGAAAATGTGTCGATTTTGATGGGCATCAGTGTGAGTATTTATTGAAATTAATTTTCTGCTAATCAAAAGCAAGTGAGATACTAAAGGTGGCTCACTTTTGGTGGGACACCCTGTATACTCTGCGCGGGAAGGAGGTAAATACACCACACGACGGGTGATTACGGATATGCATCGAGAGATACGTATGTTTTAATTGGAATGCGTTGTTGAAAACCAGGAAAAAGAACACGACGTATGCAAGCTCTTGATTAGTGTAAAAAGTATGGTTAACTCGTGTTTTTGTTACTTGGTTTAATTTGTCTCGTTCAGGGTTTTGAGGTATGGATAAAATACTTTGTTGATTCTAAAGTCCAGGCTTATATTGTGGATATTCAGCTTAACCTGTATACAGTAAATCCTCGATCAGTGTTTGATAGCTTACGTGTAACGCTGACTAATATATTTTCATGTTTTTTTAACATTTTCGTTATTCTTATCCATTAAACATATGTTCCACTATATAAACTTATTTTAGTTTGTAATTAATGAAAAATTGTAAAAAATTGGGGACTGTTCGCTGTCTTTGTTCACTATAATGTTTATTTTTATTTATTTTATCTATTCATTTATTTCACGAGATAATTGCCGTTGGAATACAATATAAACAAAAATATAAACATGTTTATATAAAATATAAATTGTACAAATGATAAAACTTATATTAATGAAACATAGAACTGGAAAATCCAAAAGTAAGTTTATTAATAATCTTACTCTCAATGTTTCGATAGTCTTATTGTCGCGAGTTTTTATCATTTTTACCAAGAAATCAATTTTTGTTACTGCAAAGAAACATATAATAGACAGTGAGCAGAAGAGTACGAGTAGTTTTACGTCACGTGTACGTTGGATCATTATCATACATAGTGATTCATTGATTTATAGACATTTATAGTCGAATCCCAAGGAACCAATCATCCGTTCAATACAATTTCATCGCAAGCATCATCGGAACCTTCTTTCCACGCGTTCGTCAACTGAAACACACTGCGATATTAATTAATTACGTACTTCTGGTGACGAATCTCTATCGCCTAGAGACATACACGCCCGACGACACACACACACACATAACCTCACCTTTTTTTTCTCTCTCGATGATGTATTGTCGATCGAATCGATCAAGGTTCTTTCCACACATTCAAATTTCACGATAGTTCCTCATTCCTTCGGAGTGGAGATATTTTTCATGATATATCTGTGGTTGTTAGGAACGAACTGCCCACATGTCACATCTGTTTTTTAACTTTCGAGATAGGTTGCATGCACCAATAAATGAACACGTATCATAATCAATGAATATTGCATATAAAAACAAGTAAATTAAGTTATTAAAATAAGCAAATGATAAAATATTGATTTTTTTTTTCAATTCTTGTTTTCATATTCAATTAAATAATTTCGTATTCAAACAATTTTCCCGCCATTTGCATTAAAAATACTCGGTATTGAAACGAAAATATCGATTATATCTACTTTTACTTACTTGGATCGGTTCATCCCTAGCTACCTTATTTTATCTAATATGAATTAAATATTGGGCTTCGGTAATAATTTAATTATTTCTTTTGAACGTATAAAATTCGTTTTCATGTAATTTTTCATTGATAAATATATAAATTCTTCATTCTGAAGCTCTCGATTAATGCATAAACTCAGATTTGATGGAATTGTAATAGGTGACGTTTTTCCAGACTATGCATAGACCACAGAGGGACAATAACGTCGTATTGTCGGTAGGATCGAATCGCGACGTATGTATTTATGGACGTGTAGCGCCCATACGGGTAGGGACACACGGGAGTTTAGTCGGTCGCATCCGTTCTCGGGGATTTCTTGTATTATTCATGGGGGCCAACAAAGGAAAAGGTATATACGTCAATGACGACGACGTCGTGCGCGACAACGGGGAAAAAACAATAATCGAAACGGCGTAACGAAAAACCACACAAATTTTTATAACCGTTTTTTTTTTTTTTTTTTCAATAATTCCATCGTTGACCTTGCGATTTTTTTTGGTAGCAATCGAAAATTGAAGATTTTAAGAATGTTCTGTAAAATTTTCAACAAAAGTTTTAATTATTAAACATTTTCTGAGGCCACCGTAAAATAACACCCTAACGGATTAATTTCACAAAATCGTGGACGAGTAACAAAATGTACGAGAAACATTTTTATCGACTTGTTTTTTTTCCTCCAGGTGTTTCGCAGAATCAAAAAATTGTCGATGTTTTCCGAACGGAATGCCATTTTATGACGACTTCAGTTTATACATATATCGTTTCTTGCAAACGTTGAAATCCGTATAGACACAATAGGGCCTGTTTGTGCGCACGTTTGTCGGTTGTCACGTACAATGAACGCCAGCGTGATCACGTATTTGTCCGACCTCCAAACGGAAGCGGAATAACATTATGTCTGAAACACGGGCAGACGGGCAATGCGCATATTCTGCAAGTTCTCCCGTAGTGAAATAGTATTATCAGGAATTTTCCAATTAATAGGTCCCTGAAAGATTTACCTTTCGATTTTCATGAAACTTCTGACGAAATTTTCTCAAATACCGTCACGGACCCAATTTCCAGTAGACTGCGGATTTTATGCATTTATAGGACACACGATACTCTAGAATTCATTATACATAAGTGTTTGATAAATTTTAAAGAAATTTGTATTTCCATTGGCACCTGGTGGAACAGTAAATAACGTAAGCAGATCCTAGTTGGACTCTAGTTTCTGTAGACTTACTTCCAAAAATTTATATTTGCATTAAAATCCGCAGTATACTGTTCAGTTGAGTATATAAATACCATGTAATAAATTTATTGTAATAATACTTTCTTTTTCCGAAAAATTACAAAATAATTATTAGAGAAAACCGACTTTGCAAAATCAGTTGGATACGCGGGCAGTGGAATAGGCACATCGTTGACGCGTCTGTTGATTACATTCCGTTTCTACTTACTACCACGATAAATGGACACGCGTTTCGGATTAATTTTCAAAGTCCATTTTCTCGAGAACATAGTCTCACGTGGAAAAATTTTATTCTACATTTTCGACTTATTTTTTCTTATGTAGAAATATGGAAAACGGAGTTTCGAGTGAAACAATTTTTTCTATATGTTCGACTTATTTTTTTTTTTTTTACGTAAAATCACCCGTTCCGGTTAGATCATTAGTTCAGACGATAATCCAACGATCCAAAGCACGGTTAAGCGGTTCGCCACTACTGAAACAGGAAATAACGAATGC